GGGAGGGGGGGGGGGGGGGGGGGGAGAGGTTCAGTTTTCTTCTCATGTCGATGTGGTTCTTCTACTTACGTATTTTTCATGACCCTTTGAACAATATATTGTGCAGATTATATTTTATGAGCAAGATTGGAATCCCCAAGTGGACAAGCAGGCTCTGCAGCGTGCACACAGGATTGGTCAGATCAATCATGTGTTGTCTATAAACCTAGTTACTGGAAGGACAGTGGAGGAGGTGAGTTTTGATAAAATCTACTTTTAAGAGTGAAAGTGTATTTTGCTTATGGTTGGTCCTTAAAATTGATCTAGGTTATTATGCGTAGAGCAGAGAGGAAGTTACAGCTTAGCCATAATGTTGTGGGTGAGGATGTTATGGATCAGGAAGGGAAAGAAAAGACAGGAGCTGAAGCTGGTGATTTGAGAGCTGTTATTTTTGGGTTACATAAGCTTGATCTTACAGAGACAAGCAATGAGCAATCAGACCAGTTGGATATGGCAGAACTGGATGCTTTGGCTGAAAAGGTAATTGCCCTTCGCCATGAACAACGATCAAGCAAGGATGACAGGAAGTTTGAGATCAATCCAGGAGATATATTAAATGGACCTGAACTTGTTATGAGAAGTGGTCCTGCTTCAGTCAATTTTGACCCTGGTTTTGATGAAGCTTCATATCTCTCGTGGGTTGAGAAGTTCCATGAAGCATCACAGTCAACCGAGAGTTCTCCTTTTGAGTTAGGAAATAGGAGAAGCTTGCCCGAGGATAAGCATCTTAAAGCTGAGGCTGCAAAGAAGAAGGCAGAGCAGGAGAAGTTGTCCAAGTGGGAAGCTCTTGGTTACCATTCGTTGTCTGTCAAGGATCCTGTCTGCCCTGCAGACAGGGATATGATGTCAGATTCTGGTGCTGTTCATTTTGTTTATGGAGACTGTACAAATCCATCAAAAGTCTGTCCATCAGAGCCTACGATCATATTCAGGTGTGTGTTTTGTGTTTATCAACCCATTTGCGTCATCCTCCTTTTTTCAGTGTATAACAACTATTGTCATGACTGGCCTCTTATTTGCCATCATTACTTCTTGTTCGCTGGTATTCTTCTTTCGGATTTCTTTACCTCATCCTTGCTCTTTCATTCTTTTTCCTCTTTAGCACTATTTTTGTTTTGTTTTGTTTTGGGGGTGGGGGGTGGGGGAGGAGGATGATGGTTGGATTTTGCATGACTAGCAGCATGATGCCATCAAACACAAAATGCTCAATTTTTTTCTGACACAAATAAGATAGTTATGCTCAGGGATCTTGGAAATAAGTACTTCCCATTAAACTTGCATAGTGTATAACGTTTATTTTCGTTGGGAGAGCATCCACCTGAAAATAATGTGGCAATGAGTTGTGAAATACCCTCTAACCCTATGGCAACCTTGGATAGTCCATACATTACCCATGTGGGGCCAGTCTCTTGCTTCACATTAATCCTTGCTTTTTGGGATTATTTAGCTCTGTGTTCATAGAAACAATAACTATAAATGCACTCTAGCAGTTAGGCAATACTCAAGTAGGTATGAGCTATATCATAGTCATTATGTTGGAGCCACAATACAGAAGAAGAACAAAACGAAGCGAGAGGCTAAGGGCAGCAAGAAGGAAAGAGTAGAGTTCGATGTGGCTCGACGACTGGGAGAAGGGAAATGAAATCGAGATTTGGCTGAAAAGGAAGCCACGCGATGGATACTAGGTCTTATCACCATCGATAAATAAGAGTCTCTAAATCACTTTTGTGTCAGCAGGGTCTTAAAGCATATGAAACATGCAACATCAAAACTTTTTAGGTAAATAAAGATTTAGGAGCATAGTTATCAAAATAGTACGATTCGCGATTCGATTCGTACGATTCAGTTTGATACCGACACAAAACAATTCGTATTTTAAATGAGGATCGTTTTTAGAGTCGAAGCGCATTTAAATCGTACGATTCAATTCGTATTGCACGAATCGCATGAATTCAGTCACTTTTTAAAAAATCCAAATTTTGGAAAAATGATGTTGTTTTGTCCATTAAACAATAAAACGACGTCGTTTTGTTTGTAGAGGAACTCATGCCCTAATAAAACTCAACCTCTTTGCTCGTTTTCTCTATCTCGCGTTGTCTAAAGCTCGTCTCGTGTTGTCTGAAATTGAAGCTGAAGGGCACGACTAAAGTTCTCGTGTCATTGGCTGAAGGTATGCCTCCTATTTCTCTTCTTCTTCTTTACAGTAAGCAAGCCCTAGCATGCCTCTTTTTTTTTTATATTGAATTTTTTTATCTCCTGTCACCAAATTTTGGAATAAATTTTGATTTTTGCTCTCAATTCTTTCATGGATAGTTTGTTAATTTTTAATTTTTTTGTTTTAAAATGTTGGCCAATATGTTTTTTCCTAATCAATTTTCTTATTTGTTCTTTTTTCATTCATGTTTGTAACCTAATTTGTACTGAGTGTCATTGTTTTGGTTTTTGAATAGATAGAGTTCTTTAATGAATTTTTTTTTCAAGTTCTTGAATTTGAAAATATTTAAGTAAAAGATAAAAATGAATCAAAAGACTAGCATCTTTCGATTTAGATGACGTGATTATGTCAATTAATTATTTTTAGAATGCAATAATGTTTAATATCCAATATTTTGCCTATTTTAAATATGTAAATATTATTTTTTATTTTTGTTTAAATTTTGTGTCGAATCTTACGATTCACGATTCGACACGATTGAAGATTCTGATTCACGATACGAATTGCAATTTGACAACTATGTTGAGGACCGTCATATGAAAATCCAAACCTATGCTATGCGCATCTGAAGAAAACGACTATTACATCTGGAAACTCCTTCACAAGTTCTGTGTGATCTATGTACTCTTCTACATAGTATACAATGTTTTCAACTACATGGTGTTCTGTTCCCTTTCTTGTTTCATGTATTAAATCAATTCTGGATCATGCTACTACTGCGTTAACTTACCCGGAACAAGCAAATGCACACACTAGTTTTGCTATGTTTGGTTTTTTTTCCTCCTTTCACTTCTGCTGTGTATAAGAGAAGTTGACATGTTGTTTATAAAATACTAATTGACATTATTTTGGCAGCTGTGTTGATGACTCTGGAAACTGGGGTCATGGGGGCATGTTTGATGCACTGACCAAACTTTCAGCAAGTATCCCTAGTGCCTATCAACGTGCTTCTGACTTTGGGGACCTTCATTTGAGTGATCTTCATCTTATAGAAGTTACTGGTCAGTTTCCTACCGCCTACAAAAAAATCTGCACTTATTTTCTGAACTGCTTGTAATGCACACATATACAGGCAACCAAAGTACTAATCATAACTTTTATCAAATAGCAGATTGATCCACTACAATGCAGCTTGGAAATTTGTGTGCCAAATATGGGCATAAAGAAATTGGCAAATGAATTTACTTTATTTATTTGTAACCTGAACCTGATTTCTTGAGGGCCAATGAATACGTTGATCAAATGGGGGAGCATATAACTTCTTGTATCACATTCATCCTCCACGAAACACTTAAGTAATTAGTTGAAAGAACTAGTATGAAACATACATGTTTTTGTCTTTTAGTGTTTTATGCTTTGTTTTCTTTCTTGAATTCTGTTTTGCATATTATACACAGCATTTGAGCTTGATTGCTACTGTGCAGAGGATTGTAATGGACAGAGTAGGGATAGTATTGCTCCTCAGTGGGTGGCTTTGGGTGTTGTGCAATCTTATAATCCTAGGCGTAAAGTCCCCCGCAGCAATATCTCTATTTCTGACTTGGAGCACTGCCTATCAAAAGCATCATTCTCAGCAGCTCAAAATTCTGGTAAACTAGACTTCGACACCTGCTAGAGAAGTATAGGATATTTTTTTTAATTCACTATTTTGAGTTTCGATACGGTAGTTTTTAAAACAAACAATTTGTAGATGTTCCACCTATTTTTGCCTCTTCCTTCTCGAGTATTTTCACTTTTGTGTGTTGTTTGTGCCTATACATGGAGCCCAATTGCTGGATTCTTAACTTTTGTTTAAACGATGACTACGGCACAATCCATTGGATGTATTTCACATTCAATTGTTTGGCAGTATCCTTTCTTCAGATTACACAGAAAAACCAAGTACTTCATTATTGTGTGCAAGGATTATCAAACTATTTACTGATTGTTAATTAAGAGCTTACACATTGTTTCTTATAATTTTCCTTTAAACATTTCCAATTTCCTGATGTGTCAAAAGCTTCAATCCACATGCCAAGAATTGGGTATCAGGATGGATCAGATCGCTCTGAATGGTATACTGTTGAACGTCTTCTGCGAAAGTACGCTGCTATATATGGCATAAATGTTTTTGTGTATGTCTCCTGTTCTTCCTCTCCCTGCTCTCTTTTTCACACACACACACATGTATGTATGCAATGGAAGAATCAATTTTGAGTATTGTAAGAATGGTTTCTGATTTTATTGGATTAATGTTTTGTCAAAATACCTCTGGGTTGAGTGTCCTCTTCATGTTTACTATGCATTGGCAGAGATATAAACTGTCACTTTGACAAGACATTTCACGCCATTCTTTACTTCCTGGGAGAAGAAAAACATTTCAAGTTGAACAGTTTCTGACTAATTTTTGTTTAGGATGCCCGACCATATGAATGAAACACCTATGCATATCTGATTAAGGTATTACATCATAAAAGGCATAAATATATCTGTTATTTACCAAGTGCAAGTTGATTGTAAAAAAAAAAAAAAAAAAAAAAAAAAAAAAAGTTGATTGTAACTCCAGAGCAAACACGCACATCATCTTTATATTTGTACTCAAAAGACGATTACTTGATTAGTTTTAATCTTCTGCAGGTATTATTTCCGACGTTCTGCTTCACGCTAAGGTAAAACTTGATATCTTACAAGATGGTGATATATGTTATGGATGGTAAAGAGGAATAATGATGTCCCTTATGATAGTGGATGATCCGCCTTGAATTTTTTAGTTTACCATCCCACAAAGCAAGAGGTGTTTTCTGGACACCTGATTTTTTTACATGTTTTTGTTGTAGAAGGCTATGACTATTGTTGAGGTGTAAATACTGAAGTTACACCATCTTTAATAGCTTAAGCTTTTGGGGTAGATGGTTGTTTAATATAATATTAGAGTAGAAAGTTGTGTTCAAATCTTTCCGTCACCCTCGCCAATATCGTAAGTTTTTGGAATAGATAGTTATTTAACATGATATTAGAGTAGGAGGACGTGTTAAAGTATAAATATTGAAGTTATACATTGTGTAATAGCTTAATTTTTGGAGTAGATAGTTTAACAGCTATTACCAAAGCAGCTTTGGTGGTTTTTAAAGCAAGTGCTGTTGTGACTTTTGCTATATTAGCTGCTTCAAGAAAGGTATGCAATGCTTTGGAAAATAGTTGTTACTGCTTAGACAATAGGGACATCCTAGGCAAATGCAAAGTGTAAATTCATCTTAGAGATGATAGGTCTCTTGCTCATTCGATTGCTGTGTAGGTTTTTAGTCCCAATGGGCTAAGGAGAAGGAACTTGAATGTTTTAGGGAAGCAACTTGGTACCTATATGCTTTAGAGTTCCCATTATTTTTGAATTTTATTTCACCCATCTTTAGCTCAAACGACAAGTCTTTTTTTTTTATGCTGTTATGCTTAGGTTGCAAATTTTCTCACGCCGGGTTAAGTTTGACTGAATTTTTATTAATCGGTGACGGTGACGGTGACGGTGCCGGTGCCGGTGAGCAATTTTTTTTTTGTGAAAATTAGGGATGAGTTCTCTTTAAATGATTTATAATTAGTTTAGTCTGTTAAGAAAATTTATTTGGAGATAAGTCCGTTTTTTAATCCTACTAATAAATAGTTAATGTCATTGTTTTTTTAAAATTCCAAATTACTTTTCATTAAAAGAAATTTTAAATTAATTTCCTAACTTGAGAATTATTATTTCTTAATTTACTAGCAATGAAAATATGTCAATAATCTTTTTTACATAAATTTGAAATTCAAATTCAAAAACAACTAATTTTCTCTCCCTCCCTCTTATATATATATATATATATATTTAATTTTTGACTATGTTATTGTTCATATTACTATTTTTGTTGGGTATATTATTATTTTTATTGGACATGTTAGTGTTTTATTAAGCATATTACTACGGTAATTTTTTTAAATATTAATACTCAATGTTATTATTTTTTTGTTTTTTTTTAGTTATCGGGCATATCCCTTCTTGGAGCAGGAGACATGTCCAAGTATATATGAAAAAGAAAGGCCTCAGGTCGGCTAAATGAAGGTTGGTGGTGGTGTATAGGATTTCAGTTTGCAAACACATTGTAATGTGTTTATGTTAAGCTTCCATTATACTTTATATCTTAAGGTTAATCCTATTTTGTTTTTCGGTAATTAACGAATATTAAAAAAAAATAAAAAATTGAGGATATAATTTTATTGGGCGATATTACGAAAAGATAAAGGTTGTTTGGGATTAGGCTTGACATTCTTAATTGATCTTTTTGAATTGTAATAATTTAAAATTATGGTAAATTTTAGAATGGATAATTAAAATTTTAACAAATCCAAGGGGAAAAATGAGTCGGTTTTGATCAACCTGATCTGAAAACTATTAAACGGGTTATAAGATTAAGCATTATCGGATTTTATTAAAAGATCGATACGTTTAACTTAAAAAGTCAAAATCGAGCCAATTTAATTTTGAGCCAACTAAAAATTAAAAAGATTGATACATTTAAATTAAAAAGCACAAATCGAACCAATCTAATTTTGGTACTAATTCAACATTTTTATTGTAAGTTTAAAAGTCGTTTTATTTTTGACTCGTAGTCACTCTAAACCGAGTTAGATTGAGTTGTGTTGACGGGTGTTGCAAAAAATTGTCACTTTAATTAGGAGATTTTAGAATTTATATTCCATATAATACATTTCTTCTTCAATTCTCGTTTTGGTAGATCATTAACTATTTAATAACTGAAGGACCTACATGAGTAAAATAGGATTCACTTGAATGCATGGTATGTGATTCATCAAGAAAAGAATTGAAAAAAAAAATGATATTATAGTCTACCACTCCGAGATTTCGTAGAAAAAACCCAATTTTGCAAGTGTTACTTCCATCAAGTTTCCATCACCATAGTACACCTTTAAAGATTTGAGTCTGATCATATAGAATATTATTAACTGATTATTTAAATTAAATAAATAAAATCATATTTTCATAAACTCGGATTTTGATATACCATTGCCCAATGCAACTATGATCCAATCTGAATTAAGTGTGTGTCTATATATATATATATATATATTGAGTAATTATTTTGCGAATCGAGTTGAAATTAAGATGTAATGTTTTAAAATTAGTCACAATTCTATTATTCTTTTGAATTTTGGATTTCTTTTCTTAAGAAATTCGCACTCAAACTATAAAATTGAAATGCGTCGAATAATCAAATCAAAATTTCAAAGTTGATTGTGAATTCGGATCAAACGAACTCCAATCAAAATCCAACTTATTGACAGACTTGTGCATTAACTTGGTCGATCCAGGAAAAAAAAATTAGTGCCGGTAACACTGGTTATAATTTTTTATGATAAAATTATAATTTTAAAAAAATAAATTACAACTGCTTAAGGAAATGTCATGATCGATCATGAACTTTCAATATCGATTCCATCATTCCATGATCGGTCGTGTCCGTTAAAGGTATANGTGAATTCGGATCAAACGAACTCCAATCAAAATCCAACTTATTGACAGACTTGTGCATTAACTTGGTCGATCCAGGAAAAAAAAATTAGTGCCGGTAACACTGGTTATAATTTTTTATGATAAAATTATAATTTTAAAAAAATAAATTACAACTGCTTAAGGAAATGTCATAATCGATCATGAACTTTCAGTATCGATTCCATCATTTCATGATCGGTCGTGTCCCTTAAAGTTATAATTAACACCAAACAAAAACTATAACTTATCTTTAAAAATTTATAATTTTTGGTTCGGTATCACCGACAATATCGTAGCCTTTCCCCAATATTGCAATATGGTCCATACATCTCTGTCTTTACTGGTCATTATACACCAAATCAAATTCAAATGAATTACAAAATATTTCATTTATTTACTTATTTTCTTACATACAAGTAACAAGGACCATGTCACAACCATCAACGACTAAGACCCACACGTTACAAGTAGATACTGCATCCACATATATATATATATATAATTATATTTTTACCCCCTAAACTTTCCCCCTTCTCTCACATTGAACCTTCTACTGTTACGTTTCTCACATTACATTTCATGTTATTGTTACTGATTTTACATGCCCCAATCGTGGACACTGGAAACATATATATCACTACACAACCAATACTCTTTATTCAAAATATGACAAATTTTATTTTGTAGCAATGTGATACCAATTCAAGTAGTTGAGTAGACAATATGAAAAACTGAACAGTCGAAGGGATAAAGTGAGATCGGGATTGTAGTTTAAGAGGTAGAAATATTAATTTGCCCCATATATATTCATACACACACACACATAGTAGTCAACTTCGGTACATATAGCATAGATAATATTAAGAGGAACTNTTGAGTAGACAATATGAAAAACTGAACAGTCGAAGGGATAAAGTGAGATCGGGATTGTAGTTTAAGAGGTAGAAATATTAATTTGCCCCATATATATTCATACACACTCACACATAGTAGTCAACTTCGGTACAAATAGCATAGATAATATTAAGAGGAACCATAACCTGAGGTGGCCATGCAGATGAATTGCCTCAGAGGAAGCTGTTTTTCAAACACGGATGCCACAATAGCTCCTTGCAGTCTCTTCACTTAGGCGAGTCGGGTTGTCGAAATAGGACTGAAGCAGCCCCATGTTGTCGAAGGACCTAAACTGCAATGGATGCTCATCATCAACCATCTCTTGTGGTATGTCAGTTGTCCCCGTGTTGTATGCAAACACACCTACTGTGTATCTTGTTTTCTTCTCTCGCAAGATGACTTGGTGCCTAGGTGAGTGTATTCTGTCATTGCTCCATGCCTGCAGCATGAAAGAAATGCCTTTTCACTTGTAATAGACAAAATTAAAAACATCATAGTCATTTAGTCTTGGGTAGAGAAGTGAACAAAATTAGGGGTAAATATTGAATTTAGAACCATTTTTTGCCGATATTAGTGTGACAAGAGTGTCTGTGTTAGCGTAGTTAGAAACAGCTTTTCCACATGCAGGGTGAAGTTGGCGTCCATCTGACCATACAATCAAGACACGAACCCGATTGTGTATGACTATAAATAAATCAATAATAAAGTGATAAAATTTAATACAACATGATTACTTATCAGCATTAGTGACACTTTTTTTAACTTAGAAAGAGTCTCGAAGTATCATTTAGTGAAGCTTTTTTAAGTGACTAATTTTTGCTTTTTCATAGTTGTGTGACTAGACTTAAACTCTCTAAGATATCAATTACTAAACTAAATAAAGTCGCAAGCAAAAATCATAAGAGAAGCAAAGTTTACAAAAAAATTGGAAAACAATGCACCTGATTCACCAAGTTTTACTATTGCAGGGCCCAATCATACTCAAAGGAAGAGTTTTATCCTGGCTCAAAAGGAACACTAGTTATATGCTTAATATATGCAAGTTGAACGTTGTTTTCGGTAGCTATGAACTTGCTCTCTTTATCCAAGTTTAATAAGTACTCAAATATACTCACCAAAAAAAGTACTCAAACATGTTCCTAATAATAAGTACTTGAAAAAAGTTGTTCTTGGTAGAAAGATAAACTACACACCAGGGAAGCATCGCCGGCAATGATCACGAAGGATTCCGGTGGGAAGTCAACGTCGATCCAGTCGCCATTCCTGGCCTGAAGCTGCAAACCAGGGACTTGATTTTGATGAAGTATGGTTATAAAGGTCTTGTCCGTATGAATGTCAGCTCCAGTATTGGTCTCGTCGATTTTAGGTTCTCTGTATTTTAGGGTTCGGATGAGATAACTCATTGATCGGAGGTGCGAGTCGTAGTACCTCTCCACACCATAGCTCTCAAACACCATCTTGCTCACCAATTGTTCTAGTTCTGCTATTTTCTTTGCATACTTTAGAATGTTTTCACTAAAACAAAACACATAAAAGAAACAAACAATATATGTGTAAGTAATCTGGCTTAACCAAAGTTATAAAACTCTTAAC